TTTTTTTTTTAGCTGAGCCATCCTGCCACTTGTTGGCAGCTCAGTGGCTGCTCAGCTCGGGCCGGTACTCGAACCACTGTTGCTCAGAGCTCAAACTTTTGAGCGAGCTCTTAACCAATTGGGCCACTCGGCCGGCCCTATCTTTTTCTCCATTTTTTATGTTGCCTTTCACTATCGACAGTGTCCTTTAGAGCACAGAAGTTTTTTCATTTTTATGAAATCTAATCTAACAATTTTGGTGTTGCCTGGGCTTCTGGTGCCACATGCAAGAAATCACTACCAAATCCAATGTCATGAAGCTTCCCCTATGTTTTATCCTAAGAGTTTTATAGTTTTAACTGTTATGTTTAGGTTTTTGATCCAGTTTGGATTTTTTTTATACATGGTGTAATGGTTGAACTTTGTTCTTTTGCTTGTGGGTGTCCAGTTGTCCCAGTACCACTGTTCTATACACTGTCCTTCCCCATTTAATGTCTTAGCATCCTGATTGAAAATCATTTGACCATATATGTGGGTGTTTATTTCTGGGCTCTCTATTGCACTCCATTGGTCTCTGTCTGTCTTTAAGTCAGTACTATGCTATTTTGATTACTGTAGGTTTATAGTAAGTTTTATAATCGGAAGTGTGAGTGCTACAATTGACTTTTAAAGGCTAAAGGTGAAACTGGTTCAATAAAAAATTGGAAAGAAGCGTAGTCCACATAGAGTCCTGGGGTGCCAGCAATCGCAATCTTTTAAAAATTCCCTGTAAAGGGCCCATGTCCTTATAATATCTCCTCAGTGAATCATAGCTTGTGTTCTTGTTAGTTTATGATGCTCTATGATGACATAAATCTCACTGGGAGGCCTTTGGGTATAGATAGGTTAACCCAGTCTTGGGCTTCTAAGGTACATAGCAGCTCGTGGGGAAAAAAGGCAAGAAAACTGGGTTCCACACCCAGCCCCACCTCTAAGCTGGGTGTGAAGCTTGGACAAGGTTATTAACTGCTCTGGGTGTAACATTAATATCTGTCCTCTGTAACTTATCAGATTGCAGTAAGAATAAAAATTTGCTTCTCAGTGAAAGATCACGAAATTTAACACTGGGGAAGGAATGGTATCAGCAGTTCACTGCTGAGATCGCCAATCTCACAAATGTAAAAGGAATTTAAAAATGTAATTGCCCTGCCAGCCCAGGTAGATGACACAAAGCATTTCAAACTAGGAGACAATATATGACAGTGGGTAGGACACAGGCTTGGGGTCGGACAGAAATGGATATGAGTGCTGGCTACACCACCGACTAGTTATGTGCCTGCATCTGATATGATACTTGACCTCTCAAGTCCAAGTGTCCGCATGGATAACGCATGGGAAATACTCTAGCTTAGCTCACTGAGTTGCTGTGAAGATTAAATGACTTATTGTGTAATTGCTCCGGGTTCACAGTAAATGTTAAGAAAGCCTTACTTAGTAGCATTAGTATTAAGAGACACTGGACTCCGGAGCTTTACAACAGTAGGTAACTTTTCCACCTAAGACAACGTGTTTTGCAGATGCAATGAATTCAATCGCACTCACCCTGTCTCCAGGCCGCACCATCGGCTCTTGCTTCGTACCTAATTTATGCAGGATGTTGTAAGCCACCTTCATGCTTCTTGTCCACAGTTTGCCTATCAATACAAAGTACAGACACAAGTAACTGGACACACGCATTCCCAGTTATGTATATACGTGCACATACAAAGAGACAGATACTTTTTCATTTTAGTGCTTCAAGTTATTCTGAGCCCCTGGAATCAAGATAGGCAATAAAAGCCAGCAATTCTGACTCAGAAAATTCGAGAAGCCTGAACACTGGAATACGGCACTAGTACAAATACTCTTAGTGTACATAGTACCTACAGCAAAGCCACAGAAACTTAATTATCACAGAAGTTGTGAGGGAAGAATTCTAGGGAGTAAAGTAGGGCAAAGACCATTAGTGCGTTACCACTAATTTATGTTGTGCAAAGTGACACATATTTCCCTGGCGAATTCTACGAAACATTAAAAGAAGAATTAATAACAATCCTTCTCAAATTCTTCCAAAAAAAGAAGAGGAGGAAACACTTCCAAACTCATTTTATGAGGCTGCCATTACCCTGATACCAAAATCAGACAAGGGTGTCACAAGAAAATTACAGGCAATTATCCCTCAGGAACATAGATGCAAAAATCCTCAACAAAATATTAGCAAACAGAATTCAACAATACATTAAAAAGGTAATACACCATAATCAAGTGGGATTTATTGCAAGGATGCAAGGTTGGCTTAACACATGCAAATTAGTCGATGTCATCCATCATGTAAACTAAATGAAAGATACAAGCCATATGATCACCATAATAGATGCATAAAAGATATTTGATAAAATCCAGCACCTATTCATGATAAAAACTCTCAACAAAGTGGGTATAGAGGGAACTTACCTCAACATAATGAAGGCCATAAAGGCCACATATGACAAGCTCACAGCTAACATTAAAGTCAACAAAGAAAAGCTACAAGTTTTTCCTCCAACATCAGGAACAGGACAAGACTGTCCACCCCAGCTGCTTTTATTCAACATAGTATTAAAAGACCTAGCCAGATCAATCAAGCAAGAAAAAGAAATAAATGGCGTCCAAATCAGAAAGGAAGAAGTAAAGCTGTCACTATTTACAGAAGACATGATACTATGTATAGAAAACCCTGAAGAATCCATCCAAAAGAAATATTAGAATAAATTTAGTAAAGGTGCAAGATACAAAAGCAATATACATAAATCTGCTGCATTTCTATACACTAATAATGAACTATCAGAAAGAGAAATTAAGAAAAGAATTCCAATTAAAATTTAATCGAAAAGAATAAAATACCTAGGAATAAATTTAACCAACGAGGTGAAAGACCTGTATGCTGAAAACCATGATATTGATGAAAGAAACTGAAGACACAAATAAATGCAAAGGTATTCTGTGATCATGGACTGGAAGAATTAATACAGACATACCTGTTTTATTGCACTTCACTTTATTGCACTTCACAGATATTGTATTTTCATTGACATTGAGACAAGACTCACCACCAGCAAAAACATTATGACTTGCTGAAGGCTCAGATGATGACTAGCACTTTTTAGCAATAAAATATGTTTATTTAAGGTATGCACATTGGCTTTTTTTTTCAGACACAGTACTATCGCAAACTTAGACTACAGTGTAGTATAAACGTAACTTTTAGATAAATTGGGAAAACAAAAAATTCATGTGACTCACTTTATTGCAATACTCTTTATTGCAGTGGTCTGGAACCTAATTTACAATATCTCCAAGGTATGTCTGTAATGTTAAAATGCCCATACTACCCAAATCAATCTACAGATTGAATGTAATCCCTATCAAAATTCCAACAGCATTTTTCATAGAAATGGAACAAACAATCCAAAAATATATATGGAACCATAAAAGACCCTTAATAGCCAAAGTAATCTTGAGAAAAAAAGAAAACTGGAGGCATCACACTCCCTGATTTCTAAACTACACAACAAGGTTATAGTAATCAAAACAGCATGGTGTTGGCATAAAAACACACGCATAAATAATTGGAACAGAATAAAGAGCCCAAAAATAAACCCACGCACATATGGTCAATAAATTTACAACAAAGGAGCCAAGAATATGCAATGGGGAAAGGACAGTCTCTTCAATAAATGGTGTTGGGAAAACTGAACAGCCATGTGTAAAATAATGAAACTGGACTATTTCTTACACCATACACAAAATTAACTCAAAATGGAGTAAAGACTTTGAATGTAAGAGCATAAAACTAGAGAAAGTGGTAAGCTCCTTGACTCTGGTCTTGGCGATTTTTTGAATTTGGCAACAAAAGTGAAAATAAACAAGTAGGCACAGCAAAGGAAACCATCAAAAGAATGAAAAGGCAATCTACCGAATGGGAAAAAATATTTGCAAATCCTGCATCTGATAAGGGGTTAATATCCAATATATATAAAGAACTTGTACAACCCAGTAGCAAAACCCCCAAATCAATCCAATGAAAAAATGGGCAGAGGACCTGAATAGACATTTCCCCAAAGAGGACATACAGATGGCCAAGAAACACATGAAAAGATTCTCAACGACACTCATCATCAGAGAAATGCAAATCAAACCACAATGAGATATCACCCCCCTCCTGTCAGAATGGCATCATCAATAAGCCAACAAACAAGTGTTGGCAAGGATGTGGAAAAAAGGGAACCCTCGTGCACTGTTGGTGGGATTGCAAATTTATGCAACCACTATGGAAAACAGTATGGAGGGTCCTCAAAAAACTGAAACTAGAACTTACCATAGGATCCAGCAATCCTACTCCTGGGTATTTATCCAAAGAAAAGAAAAACACTAACTCAAAAAGACATGCACCCCTATGTGCATTTCACCATTATTTACGATAGCCAAGACAGGAAAGAAACCTGTGCCCATCAATAGATGATTGGATAAAGAAGATGTGGTACATATATACAATGGACTATTACTCAGCCATAAAAATGAAGGAAATCTTACAATTTGCAACAACATGGATGGACCTTCAGGGTATTATGCTGAGTGAAATTAGTCAGACAGAGAAAGACAAATACCACATGACCTCACTCATATGTGGAATCAAAACAAAATAAAAACAAAAAACTGACCTCTTAGGCACAGGGAACAGACTGGTGGGGGAAAGGGCGAGGGTGAAAAATGGGGAAGGTGGTCAAAAGGCACAATCTTCTACTTACAAAATAAACCATGAGGTTGTAATGCACAGCATGGTGACTATAGCTAATAATAGTTAATAATACTGTATTGCATACTTGAAAGTTGGGAATTAGACATGAAATTGCCCTCGACTTAAGACAAGTTCACCAGATGCTTTAACTGGAAGAACAGATACTGAGACCCAGATAGCAATGTGCATGTAGGGGAACAAAACAGATGTAGGAAAGATGAAAACACCATCTTATGAAGTATGGATTTTAACTTCACTTCAGGTTGAGTGAGGAGTAAGCACTGTGTGGCGTGTGGAACTCAGGGTGGCGGGGGGGTGGGGAGTCGGTCAGAGCCCACAGGGAGCACGGTAGCTAGTTCACCTGGAAACAGCATGGGAGCTTGAGAGGTCATTGCCAACAGGGCAAAACCCAAAAAGATACAGGAAGGTTGCCTGATGCTTTTCTAGCTCAAGCATCTACTAAATCCCTGAAATATATGGGGCAAAAGGCAAAAAGAAAAGAAAGAAAGAAAGAAAAAGATGAGCATTTGCCTGGGAGAAAAGCCGCAACCAAGCCAAGTGATCACTGTATGATTACGAAATGCCATGGGTTCTCTTTAGCATGCTCTTTTATCTATATTGGTAAATAGAAAGCAAAAGATTTTTAAAGTAAGTTTGTTTTCTATCTTTATTCACCCTTTGTATTTTCTACTGAAGACCCTGTTCTTGGCTGGGGATTCTGTCTCCCGAGGGCTTCACAGAAAGCCACCCTTGGGGCTGAGTGGAAACTACCACAATGTAAAGGGTCTGGTCCTTCGATTATACCAAGTTACCTGCTATCAGAACAGTTTTTACACATGAACTTTTCTGTGTCTTTTCAGCAACATCCACCATTCAGAGTTCCTCTATATGGCCTTTCTACGTAGAAAGCACATTTCTAAAGCTTTCATCGTGCTAGCCAACACTTTCATTTTATGTCCTGATAAACTATAATCTTACATTTGGAAAGGCACAGCTTTCCTATATTCCTGTAACAAAGCAAAAACTGAGACTGAACCACAGTGTATGTCTTGTATCAGTGATTAAAATACAGCAAAATATAGATGACTGAAAAGCAGGAGTTGGATGCCTTTGCTATGGACACACATTTCAAATTGTCCTAGATGACTAATCCATATCTGAACCTCAAATTCCCCTTAGGAAAGTCAGCACCATCCGTCCTCTCTTCCAGCGGGAGAAGCAGGGCAGTGCCTACAGTCTGCCTCAGCATCAGGGACCACGAGTCACTCCTCTTTGAGCCCCATGCCTTGGAGAATAGTGTGGGGGCGCAGAGTGCTTCAAACACCTCAGGCAGCGCCTGTGGTTGACGGACAAGGCTGCACTCATGTGTGCACAGCTGTATGCTAGAATTCCCCAAACGCCAGCAGGTAAGCCTTGAAGAACCAGTAAGGGGCAGCAGCCCCATGGCTCCACCTGTCAGGAGATGATGCTCACCCAAGATAGTCTTCTATCTTTCTGACTGAATAAAACCCATTTCCAAGAGCATAATTTTAAAAAAACCCAAAAACATCAACCTATGCCTCATCACGGGTGAAACACACTGTATCTACTTAGAATTACCTAACGAAGCCATTAAAAACAAGGCTGCTATGAAACATGTTGCTAAACCCCCATGTCACTGCTGTCCACGAGATGCCCAGGACAGTGGCTGAGACTGGCTGGTGCTTCCTGGGGCCCCGCATCCCCAGAAGTCTGGGCTGCGTGTTATTTCCCATAACATCTGGCTCTTGGCCTCAACTGCTAATGTAGAAATCTATTTCTTTCCTACCTGAAATTAAGAGTGTTACTGTCATAAAAACTCAAAGTTTTAAAAAAGATACTCTAACCTCACACATACAGATGTAATATGAGTTACGAAGCTGGTGTTTGCAAAGCTGCAGCAGACAGTGTGAACAGAACCTGACAATTGGCTGTCTCGTGGCTCCTTGTCCATGGATCAAAGAAAAAGGGACCCTCTGGTACAGTTAACTATTTCCTACAATTTACAGACTGCGTTAATCTCACTGAATGAAGAATTAAAGAAAAGCTGCTTTCTCTTGTTTTCTGAAAAAGCACTTTGGAAACAGATTTTGTTTCTTCTGAATGATACATGTCAGAGTTTAGACACACCTTCTTTAAGTGCCAGCCCTTCCTGATTTCAAGAATATCACAGACACATTTCAACAGGCAACACCCCACATCTGGGTAGAGTGATGATCACTAAGCATTTGGATCCAGACTCAAAAAACATTTAACAAGAATAACTTCTTATTCGAACTAAAAAACTTCCCTGAAATATTTCCTTTCAGATTCTATGTATTTCCAGACTGGAAACATAAAGCAGCACAAATATAAGTTAGCCACCTGGGAGTGGCAGGTGTGTGCAGT